CGGCGGCGGCGGCACGACCCGGGCTGGGGTGGGGGGGCCCTGAGCGCCTCACGTGAGGCTCGGGGCGGGACCATCCGCCGCTCGCCTCAGGCCGACTCGCTCACCCGACGGCACGTAGTCTTCGTCTTCCTCCGAGGTGGAGAAGTCTTCGGAGTCGAATTCCTCCATGTTGTTGCAGCTCGGGGTCGCGCAACCCACCAGGACCCGGGCAGCCTCCCCCTCCTGGAAAGCTCTAGGGAGGGACCATAGAGCCCGGGCGGCGACTGCTAGGGCGGCCCCGGAGGTGTGTGCACATGCGCACAGAGTGCCACGTGGTCAAAGACGCCACTTCCGGCCACCATACCTGGGCCCAAGCGGGAGCCCGGACACTCCCGAGCGCTGTGCATGCTGGGACTTGTAGTCTTCAGCGTAACGTCAGTGCGTTGACCCAATAAATATGCTTAAATAAAACTAGCTATCTGTGGGGCTGGGAAGGTGGCTCAGCGCTAGAGCGCTAGCCTTGCATACATGAGGCCCTGGGTTCGATTCCTTAGCACCACATAAGAGAAAAAGCCGGAAGAGGCGCTGTGGCTCAAGTGGTAGTGCGCTATCCTTGAGCTGAAGAGCTGAGGGACAGCACCCAGGCCCAGAGTTCAGGCCTCACGACCAGACCCCCCCCCAAAAAAAACAACAAAAAACTACCTATTTGTGGAAATACAGTTGACTCTTAGTTCTGAGAACTCTCAACCTTTCTGGGTAGCTAAATTTTAACCTTAGAGTCCTCAAAGTCGATAATTATTGCTTTCTGGGCTCATTCCTGGGCATGCACAGAGAATGGAAACTTGCAGTGTTGAGATTCCAGTTATGGTTAAATAGGACTGACGGGGCTGGGAAGGTGGCTCAGTGGTAGAGTGCTTGCCTTGCATGCATGAGGCCCTGGGTTCGATTCCCCAGCACCACATAAGCAAAAAGAAAAAAAGCCGGAAGTGGCGCTGTGGCTCAAGTGGTAGAGCGCTAGCCTTGAGCTGAAGAGCTGAGGGACAGCTCCCAGGCCCAGAGTTCAGGCCCCACATCCGACACCCCTCCCACACACACACAAAAAAAAATGGAGCGGGAAATGCTCCAGTCTGTGTGCAAGGGCAAGTCAATATCTATCCGGAAGCCATGGAAAGGATGGCGAAGCAGCTAAATCTGGATTGATGAAACAGATTGGTACAGACAGCATAATGGGGGCCAAAGGTCACATTATCCGGGGTAAGAGAAATGCGAAACCTTGCTGGCAAGTGTAGCCATGTGATGTGGGAAGGTGGCTGTGGTAGATTCCCCCCCCCCAAAAAAAATGTTCAAAGTTAAAGGCCAGGCAAGTTCTGCAGATCAGAGACAGAAGAAGGATTTAATTAACACTGTCATCCAGGATAAGAGCAGGGTTACAATGGTGAGGAGACTGGCCCTCCCTCCCTTGAACTTTGCCTGGGCGCTGTCCCTGAGCTCCCCCCACATTTCCACACAGCTACTGCTCTACCATTTGAACCACAGCTCCACTTCTGGTTTTCTGGAGATAAAAGTCTCACAGACTTTCCCGTCTGGGCTGGCTTTGAAACATGATCCTCAGATCTCAGCCTCCTGAGTAGCTAGGCTTACAGGTGTGAGTCACCAGTGCCCAGCAAGACTGGCTAAACAAGGATACTGACATATAATGCAAATAGCCTCTAAAGTTCCTGGCTTTGCTGTTGTGTGCCAATGCCAAGGGCACCCTTTATGTTGTATAGAGCCCACAGTTCACAAACACTTAAAGAGGAAAATGCGAAACATGTGCCAGTCCATTGTTGGTGAAACAAAAAAGTACAGAGCAGAAATCTTGCTTTCAAGGTTTTACTGATTTTTACTAATGCCTTTTGTCCATTGCCATGAAGAACTGGAATATGCATACCCCAATGCAGAAGTTTGTTGTTTTTTCTTATGTCCTCAAACACTACATCTCTCATCCAATCACTTGATTTGGGCATAATAAAAGCTTTCAAGGCACACTACACAAGCTTTAAAATGAAGGCCTGGAAGACCCACAAGGTCAACAACAAAACCACACTAATATCCTACTGGTAGTCAGTTACTATATGCAACGTTATCAGTTACACTGGAATAGCATGGAATATCGTCAGCTGCTCTTGGTAACTGTTAGAAAGTTTGGCCAGACTGTGTAGAAAGTGTCACAGAACATATATAAAGAACAGTCAATAACACCTACTGTGGCAAATAATTGGAGGCCTTTAGGACAATGAATGAAAAAGATGTGGAGAATTTTTGGCAGACAAGACAGTAGAGCCCATCAAATGAAGACCTAGATGAGATGGCAAAGCAAGCTGTAGGAGTCAGCTATGAGGAGGAGGAGGAGAACCCAAGACTCTCAAGAATTGTCCCTTTCACAGCAGCCAAAACAACAGAATGGAATTCTGCTCTGCTGGAGATTTTTTAATGCCAATGGAAGAGTGTGACCCTATGCTTGGAATCACAACCTTAAATTTAACCCCTCACCTCCACTGATTTGCTCTTTACATGCAGATGCTTAAAAACATGAGGCAGAAAGCCAAGCCAAGCTGGTTCAGTTTTTCACATCAGATTGAGAGAGCCCATTGCATCAACAAGTGGAGAGAGTCAAACTTTTAAGGAAGAACTACCAATAGATGTCCATGTGCTACCTTTTCCCTCTTCTGTAGAATTCCACCCCCCGCCTTGCTGGGTCTTTAGGGGACATAGTTGAGTTGAATCACACTGCACATTACTCCATCACAGCCTGCATTTCCATCAATAATAAGCATTTAATGTTTGTAAACTTTTTTTTTTTGGTCAGTTTTGGGGCTTGAACTCAGGTCCTGGGCACTGTCCCTGAGCCTCTTTGTACTCAAGGCTAGCACTGTACAACTTGAGCTACAGTGCCACTTCTGTTTTCTGAGTGGTTAATTGGAGATGAGAGTCTCACAGGGATTTTTCTGCCAGGGATGACTTCAAACTGCAATCCTCAGATCTTAGCCTCCTGATTAGCTAGGATTATAGGTGTGAGCCCCCAGCACCCTGCTCCTGTTTTTGTTTTTTCCTATTTGTACTGGGGCTGGAACTCAGGGCCTAGGTGCTATACTTGAGCTTTTTCTGCTTTACCATTTGAGCCACAGCTTCATTTATGGCTTTTTGCTGGTTAATTGGAGATGTGTCTCACAGGCTTTCCTGCCTGGGCTGGCTTTGAACCATCATTCTCAGCACTTAATCTCCCTTTGTTATGTATGGCAACTAAGGTGTCTTCTGAGATGTGTGCAAGTGAGTTTTTGTGTGGATCCTGGAGCTTGAACTCAAGGCACTGTCCCTGAGTTTTTGGTTTTGTTTTGTTTTCTTCTCGAGACTAGAACTCTATCATTTGAGTTACAAATGCCACTTCTGGTTTTCTGGTGGTTAATAAGAGTCTCACAGACTTTCCTGCCACAGCTGGCTTCCAATTTTGATCTTCAAATCAGCCTCCTGAGTAGCTAGAATTACAGGTATGAGCCACTGGCTCCCAGTGAAAGATGTCTTTGAACAGACACTTACCTAAAACAGGTCAGGTGACAAAAGGTTGCCACAAGCTTACAAGAACCTAACCTACAAGCAATGCTTCACTATTCTTACTATAGAAATGTTATTCACAAATAAGAGTATAGAGTCATACCAAAGTTTCTTGATATCCCACAGAGTTAATGAATCAAGGTCACATGTAAGTATAATTACATCTTTGAGTAAGAATTTTCCTGTAACTTAGAAAAAAGTTGACATAAAATACAGTGAAAGGCCAGGTGCTGGTGGCTCTCGCCTGTAATTCTAGCTACTCAGGAGCCTGAGATCTGAGGGTCGCAGATAGAAGCCAGCACAGGCAGAAAGTCCCCGTGTGACTCTTCTCTCCAATTAACCAGTCAAAAACCAGAAGTGGAGCTGTAGCTCAAAATGATAGAGCGCTACTAGCCTTGAGCAAAAGAGCTCAGGGACAATGCCCAGGCCCAGAGTTCAAGTCCCATGACTGACCAAAAAAAACAAAAAACAACAACAACAACAAAAAACTGATCAACTTTATTACAAAAGATAAACTTTCTGGCTACTCAAAAAGAAATGCAATTCCAACCCAAAGAAGTTAAAGTAACTCTTTATTGATAAACATTTACACATTAGAATTAGAAATGTCAGTAGAAAAATAGTTTAAATAATTTCCTATTGTACAAAGATTTGAACATTTTAACTGTAGCAGTTAGTGAAATTACCTAATTTTAAAAAAGTTAAGCTGATTTTGGTCACAACCAGCCTCACAGAATGCACAAAAAAAGAAATGCAACTTCACAGACTTCTGTGTGTGGATTGCTAACGGCACCAGGGCGTCACATTCCAGGAAACAGCTCCAAAGGGAAGGTTGGCGTGTTCTGCAGTGTAATAAGAACTTAATGCAAACCAGAATGGTCAGAAAGGACATTGGAATCAAAAGCCAACATATGATTGATTAAAAATGTGAAGGGATGTAAGGACTGATGCAAGGTTAGTTATTTCCATCAGCTGCTTCTCACTAGTTGAAACAGTGTTACTTGATGCCTTTTAGCAGACTTTGGCAAATATACATAGTACAGTGACATCTTTCTCTTGCAACATTCATTCTGCTCTTGCTTATGAATTTTTTCGGTTCTCACCAAATGCTTTCACCCCAAAAGCCTATTAAAGAATCAACCGGGTTGATTTTTGATTTTCAAAAAATTACTGAGGACTACCTCCCTTTTCTCAGCATTTATAGAAAGTAAAGTAGAACCTTGCTGGGGAAATGACAGCTGAATGTCTCTAAGAAAGTCAGTTGTTGGCAAAAGTTCTCAAAAAATTTTATTAGATAAAATGTTCGACATGAATGCCAACATTCTATCATCTGAGCAGCCAACTGCAAATAATTCTGTATTTGAGACAAGAATCAGGAAGAAAAGAGACAGGAAAAAAAACCCAGCAAAGTGGAATACATTCTTTGTTATCATTCAGTTTCTCCCTGAAAACATTTAAGCTACACAGTTTAATCTATATAAATTCTATATACATTTACTCAAACTGGGACAAATAAAACATTCAATAATTTGGAGATATACTCTATATTTTAAGTGTTTTAAAAGAACAGATAAAGTATATCAAACAAGAAACAAACAAAAAAAGATCTTCCAAAATGTCCTAACTTTCTCATCTTGGCTCCAAACAAAAATAACATTTTTTTTTTTGGGGGGGGGTCCGGTCATGAGGCCTGAACTCTGGGCCTGGGCGCTGTCCCTCAGCTCTTCAGCTCAAGGCTAGCACTCTACCACTTGAGCCACAGCGCCACTTCTGGCTTTTTTCTTTTTGCTTATGTGGTGCTGAGGAATCAAATTCAGAGCCTCATGCATGCAAGGCAAGCACTCTACCACTGAGCCACCTTCCCAGCCCAAAAATAACATTTTTATCATGGGTTGTTATGTTCAAAAGTTAGAAGTCAGGGTACCAGTCCCCTAACTACTAGCCCCACATGTTAAATTTGTGAAATTATACCCTAAAGAATGTTTTAGGTGAAACCTCTAGTAAGATGCATCATCTAATAGAGATACTCAATATCATCTTTCAGTGTAAAAGGAGTTTCTTAAACTGAAGGGATATTTTTCCCTTCCTTCCTTCATTTTGTGTGTGTGTACTAGCATCGGGGCTTGAACTCAGGTCTGGGTGCTGCACCTGAGCTTTTTTGCCTAAGGCTGGTGCTCTGCTACTTGATCCACAGCCCTACTTTCAGATTTTGGTGGTCAAGTGGAGATAAAAGTCTCACAGACTTTTCTGACTAGGCCAGCTTTGAACCATAATCCTATGATCTCAGCCTCCAGAGTAGCTAGGATTACAGACATGGTTTGAAGCGATATTTTCTAAAAAACAAAATAAAACACATCTCTTTGAACTACAAACTGAAATCTTTAACAATTTGTTGGAAGAAAGCTGAGCTTCCTGTTAGGAAATCTGAAAGGACATTTACGTGTACTCACAATTTTCCTGCTACTATCTAATTTTGATAAGTGATTAAACTAATTGATCCTCCTGATCCTTCTAATCAGAAGCCAGAGGCTTTAAATAAATTCACTTGCATTGGAGCTCGTGGACTGGGACCTGTCATCTCTCAATGAAAGCCCTCCTTCAGGATGACAGTTATTGTCTGGAAGACAACACCACCATTGATTGTGCCCTGTATTAAACAGTTTAGGTGGTAAAAGTTACTTAATTTTTGCAATTGTTTCCCTTTTGAAGGTCACAGTTTTTCCAGGCCTTTCAATGAAAAAAGAACTCAGCAGCAGAATAGAAATTAAAACAGCTAAATGTTGAGTTTTTAAAAATCTCAAAAATTAAATATCCAAGATTTAAAACTTGGACATCTCTTTAAGGATAAAAATTCTCTTGACTAAAAGTTGAAAGGGGCAGGATGGAGGTGTGCCTGGAAAGGAAACTTCAGGCACTTTCTGGGAGGTGATGCTCTAATACTACAAAGTGGGTTGTGGGGCCGTGCTAGGTAAACAGATTACAACCCCCAAGTCCCCAACACCTACCCTCATTTCAGCCACACTTCCTCAATCTCTCAAGAGTCATCTATAAACTAAAGTCTCTAAGAAAAACTATCATAGCATGTCAGATGTATATATGTGCCTGAATGCCCAAAGGTAAAGGTACCCTAACCCAATCTGGCTTAAAATTTCAACTCAAACTTCTGAATAGGGTAGGTATCTTTCCAGCTAAACTAAAACTAAATTTTTTTTCAAATGGGGTATAGAAATTCTTTGGAAAAGTCTCAACCAGGCATGATGGTGTGTGTCTGCAGTCCCCACTATTTGGGAGGCTGAGGCAGGCGGATCACTGGTGTGCAGGAGTTCGGGACCAGCCTGGCCCACACAGTGAGCTCATCACTTTAAAAATAAAATGTTTTGTGCATCCCTGTCATCCTAGCACTTAGGAGGTTGAGGCAGTAAGATTGTGAGGTTAAGGCCAGCCTGGACCACATGCACAGTAAGACCTTCCCTTGGGAAAAGAAAAACCAAAACAAACCCAGCATCTGAATTAACTAGCTTATTTTGGCCAAATGTACAAAACAGTTAAGTTCACATCTCTTAAAATAAATAACCAGAGGTCAAGGCAGTTTTCCATAAAATATCACATTCTCAGTGGGACCAAAGCCATTTCCTTGAGTTACTCGATTGTTTTCCTGTTATAGTTCACTAAATTTGTTCTCACAGCTAGACTCAACTGAAACTTGGTGTTATCATCATGAAGCTGTCGCAAAAGGAGTTTTCAGATTTTAATCAAGTTTAGGTCAACTAAGATTTCAGCACAGAGTACTCACACTTGAAATGAGCCAGTAGTTTCCATAGTTGCTCTGAAAGAGGTGAGAGACTCTGCATTTCCTCACAGACTACTGGAAATTCAAGTGGCAAGGGATACAATCCAGAAGCGATGATGGCTTGGCTTGAGTCAAGGTGTGCATGTAAAAGTTCTTCAATTAAATGTCCATAGAAAGAAAAGCAAGCAACTTGTTCTGTCTTGGTTGGGAATAACAGGAGTCCATAGAGACCTTTGATGGCTGGCGTGTCAAGTTGAAGAAGAGGCGGAGATGTGGTTCAGATTCCTATTCATCCACATTGCTTCCATTTGGAGAGCTAAGAAAATACTCCTCCAATGTATTCCTTCTGAGGCTGTTATAAAACAGAGCTTAGCCTCATACCATAGAGAGTATATGCTATAGAGTAGCTAAAACCCGTAAAAAAGAGACCACCACTACACAGAACGTCTGTCCCGTGCCCAGGGTGAGGGCCTCAAATGGTATCATCTCCTTCCCTGCTGCGCGGTACACTCCGGCAATGGCGGCACCTGGTTCAAAATTCAAGGGTGTTAGGAAAAAAGTGAGGTTAACAAAAATCATGAAAATATACCACTTAAAGTCCCACTCTAAACAGAATGTTCCAGATTTTTTACACTAAAATGTAAGTATTACAGATATGATGGTCCAGAAAGAGATGTACTTATTACCTGACTTATGAAATCATAAGCCCTCTGCACATCACCTTTATAACAATAAAAAACTTACAGAAATGCTTTATTTCCTCTATTCTTCCTACTCCCTCTAGTTTTAAGTGTTCTTTATATGCTCTGCAAATCACTGAAATGTGGTTTTAGATGTGGACTCCCTAACACTGAGAGTCTACTACATTAATTGAAAAAAAAGTATCTGGAAGTGCTGGGTGCCAGTGTGTACTCCTAGCTACTCATGAGTCTGAGATCTAAGGATCATGGTTTAATGCCAGCTCCAGTAGGAAGGTCCATGAGAATATTATCTCCAATTAGCCATCAAAAAGCCAAAAGTGGAATAGTGACTCATATGGTAGAGTACCAGCTTTGAGCAAAAAAAAAAAAAAACAACTAAAGGACAGTACCTAGGTCCAGAGTTCTAGTACAAATCATAATCATCATCATCACCACCACCACCATCATCACCATCATCATTATCGCCACTACCACCCCTACCACCACCACCACCATAATCATCTAGAATAATCAAAATCATAGCAACTTCCACATGACTTGACTATGAACTCAAAAATCTTTTTATTTCCATGCAATTTAACCCCATGCCTCTTAAGAAGTACGTAGTAAAATTTTGGTAATAAATGAGTCTCCTGAGTGAGACAAGCAAGAAATGTTCCAGGCCACAGGAAATAATCTCCTTTCTTGTGGCTCCACTTTCTATCATCCTCATGGTTCCACTTAAGAAAGAGAAAGAGGAGAGGGTGAGGGGCTATGGACAGAAGAAGGGAAGAGGACTCTAAACCACGGAAGTTGTTCAGAGGACACATAGAACCAGGTGTGGTAGTGTATACCTATAATTCAGGCATTCAGGAGGGGGTGGGGGGTGGGGGAGGAGTGTGGGTTTGAGGCCAGACTGGGCTATATAGTGGAATCCATTGTAAGTAAGAGAAAAAAAAAATTAAAGGCAAACAAGGGTAATCCCAGGGGTTTCTTTCTCGCCTACGTAATTGTTTTGATGCTAGAAAACTTCCTAGAAACTGAGAACACAAAACACCTATATCTATCCAGTACTTAGCTGATTGGGGCAGAGACTGGTAATACATAGTCCTCAATAAAATGTCTATACACATTTGGGCTGGAGTACTGTAGCTCAGTAGTAGTCATTATGCTTAGCCAGCAAAAAGACAGGGAGTCATTTTTCAACACCACATATCTTATAAATATAATATGAAAGTATTAAGCTGGGGGCTGGTGGCTCACGCCTATAATCCTAGCTACTCAGGAGGCTGAGATCTGAGAATCAAAGTTAGAAGCCAACACAGGGAGGAAAGTTCATGAGACTCTTTTCTCTAATTAATGAGTAGAAAACCAGAAGTGGAGTTGTCACTCAAAGTGGTTGAGAGCCAACTTTGAGCAAAAAAAGCTCAGCATCCACGACCAACAAAAAATAAAATAAAAAGAACAATATTAACCAAAGGTTGGCTGCCTTGAGCATCTATGACTTGAAAATGTTTTCTTCAGGGTTGGTGGTTGTGTTCAGGGCTTAGGGGCTGCTAAACTCACAGGCCCAAGGTCTAGTGTACAGCACTCAAAGAAAACCTACCTCCAGGGACTGGGAAGGTGGCTCAGTGGTAGAGCACTTGCCTTGCATACATGAAGCCCTGGGTTCGATTCCTCAGCACCACATAAGCAAAAAGAAAAAAGCCAGAAGTGGCACTATGGCTCAAGTGGTAGAGCGCTAGCCTTGA